TAGTCTACAGGCACACACCTGATCATCTACATTTGCTCTCTTACAACACTAAACTATGTTTTCTACCTTTATCTTGCATCTACCTTCCACTTCAGCATTTTATTTAAAAAATAATAATAATAATAATAAAGGGAGAAATGTGGGATTCACATATAAATCAAGTATAAAAGTCAAATGAATATTCATATTTTACCTGATTGTTTATAGCTCATAATGAGTGATCAAAACCAAAAGTTTTTGTGATGACTGCCCTTGTACTGTTCACCATGTAAGAACTTATTCACTATGTAAGAATTTGTTCTCCATGTAAGAACTTATTCGTTATGCTTCAGAAGACTGGAGACTGATGAGAATTAGGCTGGGGGTGGATTAATGATTGTGCATTGAGCATTGACTCCCCTATACAGAATTTTATTGTTGTTAACAACCATTTGATCAATAAATATGAGAGATGCCCTTTAAAAAAAATAATAATAATACTATCTTGTATATGGTTTTGGGATGAATCAGTGAGATTATGCAAAGAAAGTACTTAGCACAACACCAGTACTTAGCACAGAAAAAGTACTTGGTAATTTATCATTGTTCTGCTGCTGCAGTAGTGATATTAACAGGGGATTAGGAATGTGGAGGTGGTGGTGGTGGTGGTGGTGGTGGTGATGGTGATGGTGGTTGTGATGGTGGTGGTGATGGTGGTGGTTTGTGGTGGCAGTGGTGGCAGCTGCAGTGATGGTGGTGGTGATGGTGGTGGTGTGGTGATGGTGGTGGTGGCGGCAGCAGTGGCGGCAGTGGTGGTGGTGATGTAGTGGTGGTGATGGTGGTGGTGGTGGCAGTGGTGATGGTGGTGATAGTGGAGATGATAGTGCTGGTGGAGGTAGTGGTAGTGCAAGTGGAGGTGATGGTGATGATATTAACTATGAAAGTGTTGATGACAGTCCTGGGATCTTATCATCTATAGGTATAGACAGTGAGCTTCCTGTATGAAGGAGTAAGTTCAGAACCTGTTAGGTTGTTTTGGTGAATATACAAAGACTGCACCTACATCCAGTAGATATTAACTGAGAAGAAAATTTTAAATTTTTAATGCACAAAGATTACTCTTACGTCCTAAGGAGGAACATTTGAAATACTAAAAAGGAAAGAAAACAGAGATAAGGAAGATTCCCCAAAATGAATATTTTTGGGGAAAAGGGGGTGCAAATGAGGTTCATTGGCTGTTACTCCAGCTTGTCTCTGCTGAAGGACATAGAGCCCCCCTCATCTACAACACCAGAGACTGAAACTGTGTATGTCCCCCTCTGATGCTCCTGCTGTGACACCTTTGAGGAGGGTTTGCTCCCCAGCCTGGTCTGTCCCAGGCAGACATCAGTAGGGGGAAGCTTTGCCTTATTTTAAATCTGAGTATTTTATAAAGTTAAACAGTGTTAACTTCATCATTCGGATTGAGTGTAGATGCAAAACATATTTGCCCCACATTCCGCTTGACAACAATCCAGTTGTGTCTTCTCCCTTTGGACAGAGAAGTTTCAGCTTTGTAGGTCTGATTTCGTTTTCTCTCCTTGCTAATCAATGTGATTTCTGTGCTGATGCAAAGTAACAGCAGGCCCTTCCTACTGTGGATGAAAGAAATCTCAGAAATAGTTGTTTCAAGAAGGACGACATTACTCTGTGTCATAAAGCTCATTCCAATATTCCAATAAGGTGGTGAATGAAAAACAGTCATAAAATAACTATTTGCTCTCAGGTATAGAGTGGTCACAAAGGTCATACCCTGGCCCTAGTGGTGTTACCTGTGGTAGTATTATGATCCTCGTCTTCCACAGATTATTTATATGCTCTGGATAATAGAACCCAGCCCTTAAAATTTGCAACTCTGGCTGTCTTGTTTCCCTGAAAAAGTGTTTCATTGGACATTTCTATATTCCTGAAAGACTCAAATGCTTGTAAAGCATCTCTGTCCAGCAGAAGAGGATCACTGGCAACTCCCTCTTCAACAGCATGTGTGAAGGCCAAGTAAACCCCAAGACATATTTGGATTCTTTATTTATACAAGAAGTTTGACAACCTTTGACTCTTTAGGTTTACAGCAGCTCTAGTGATTGTATCCTATTTGTAACCCCAAACATTCATCAAAAATATTAGAATTTTGTGTGAAACAAGAAAAAATCACAAACCAAAACTTCAGTCAAGAATCTGAAACAGAGAAACCAGCCTTACAGGTGGTCCTCTTGGCCCCCACCGGCCCCGCGGGCCTCCTCCTCCCGCATCACCGCACCCTCCCTTGCATAATACAGGGAGGCATGCAATTAACTTTCTCCTATGAGTTCATACAATTTCACATCATTTTTTAGAGATTTTACAGCCACTCTCTCCAAGTCCTATTGGAATTATAGTCTAAGGAAAATGTCTTCCTCTAGACTTTATAGGTATCTAACAAATACAGTAGATTTGGGTACTGAAAGGTAGCAAAACCAGGTATGCAGCCCAAGTTATAGAATTTCATATTACCCTGGCTTTTTCCAGGTGTGAATTGTGACCCTGTATTTGTGTTGAATCTATATTTATCTATCTACTGATATGTCTTTGTCTCCCGACAGAGTTGACATCCATCCATCCTTCTATATGTCAGTGTTTCTGCCCTTTCTTCTCTGTGTCCATCTATCCAGCTACAAGGTAATGGGCAGTCAATAACATCCCCAACCTCTTCAGAAACTCATGCTGGAAATGATCACATAGAGATTCATATAAGAAAACCCAAACTTGATTCAGGGAAGAGTGTGTTCACTGGCACTTACCTTCTTTCCACTAAGTCCAGGTTTTCCTTTTGCATCAACTGGCCCTGGAGGCCCAGGATTCCCCTGCAACAAGATCACCTCCAAAGTCACCTCAAGGGCCGCAGAGTTAGCTCCCTGGTCCTCCTGCTATTACGGAGATGGTCCGGAACTGGAATATGCTCACAAATCACCTTTGATGTCTATACAATTAATTTTATCCTCAAACATGCAAATTCCATAATGTACACATTAACCTCCAGGCTGAGTGTTGGGACTGGGGGAGTAAGGTGATCTATGCAAGAGGCCACACCTATCCTGTGCTGAGAATTGGAGGGGTGAGGGAAGAACACCAAATGAGTAGGAGATCAGGAAGAAAAACACCTGGACTTTTACCTGCTCCAAAGAGACGATATTATCCCATGAGTATGAAAATAATGCGATTGGTTACTGGGCTACGTTGTTCCTCCCCGAGAGAGACCGAGGACAGAGCTGGGGCCAGGGTCTCCAGGCGCCGCTGCTTCAGCCTCCGGGCGGAGCCTACTCTCCCCAGGATCCCGCGGCCGCGCAGCACACGGCTCAGGGCGCGCGCGCTCCCCAACGCCCCCTCCCAGGCGGCGGCCCTGCTCCTCCGTGTCGGGAGCCCCGGGACGCTGAGTGGGGAGAGCAGGCGCTGCAGGGACCCAGGAAGGCCAGGTCCGCCACTTACCGCCCGGCCGGCGGGTTGCTCACGCCTTTTGAACCTCGTCTTCCTCAAGTATAAAACTGGGGTAGTAATGCTTCCTTCTGTGTTTGTGAAGAATAGTCATTTATGCCCCTTTTGTAGTACGATTTTTTCCTGAATTCTAGGTAAGCATGAGCTTGTTTATATACTGTCCAGGTTCAGACCCAATCTCATTGATCACTCTATTCCTGCAATATTCCTAGAGTCAGCGGGGGTACGCAGCCGATGATAAGTATCTACCGCATCAAACGAGCTACTTCTGGAAATCCCCAGGCCCCACAGACCCGGGCAGGCAGTGCAGCGCGGTGATTTGCCCGGGACGCCGGGACGGGTGGACTGAGCCGCGGCGCCGTAGCACTCGGTTTCTCGCGCCCACCTGGGCACCAGGTAAGCCTTTTTGTCCAGAAGGTCCTGGGGGTCCTCGCCTTCCTCTCCGCCCCTGGTCTAAAGATGAAATTTAAATTCCACCAATTTGTATAGAGCTATTTATTCTCCATGTAACCACACGGTCACGTCGGGCGCCGACGGAAGCACACACGAAGGCGCCCCGGCGCATCCCGGTCGCGCTCGTCACGGCGCCCTCCGCAGGCGCTGCTCTGCGGCGTCCCGGGCGCCCGGCGCGCATGCCCGCATCCCGAGCCAGGGTGGCGGCTCCGGCCCTGGCCCCTGGGGCTGTGAGCCTCTCTCCCGCTGAATCGATGAGCACCAAGGTTTCAGATTTATGTTTAAACTGATCTTAAAGCCTAAACCCTACTAATTTGAAGTCCTAAAATGGGAATGACAGGGGCTCTGGGATATTGATCTCCTTTGAATCACATATTCAAGGACTAAGGACAAGAGACAGTGTTCTGATTTTATGAAGGACCAAAAGTACATTTAAGCAGCCTGATCTCACTGGGCACGTTACTGGGGAGTTTCTCATTTTCTCCCCGATCTATTTTATTTTACTGACTTTCAACACATGAATTTTTCTCCAACTTTTCTGAGAAGTACTTTTCTATTAGAAGCATTGATCGTGACGTCTATACTCCTGAGTAAGGTATTGTAACCGTCTATTTAAATAGACCGTCCTACCCACACCCCAGCAAGAAACAAGAGTCAGGGAGACGTTTTGTTGATACCTTGCACACGGCTCACAACAGGAGCTGCCCCCTTGCACTGCCAGGTTAATAATAAAGTGAGTATGAAAGAAGAGGCCAGGACACAACAGC